GTTCAAAATTGGGAAGGGTGTACGCCAGGGATGCATCCTGTCTCCATACCTTTTCAACATGTATGCAGAGCAGATTATCTGAGAGGCTGGGCTCTACGAGGAGCATAATCATGAGCATGTAAAATGTAGGCAGGAAATAACTGCTTAATGATTTTTAAAAGCGCTTTTGATTTTCTCACTTGATTAGGAATCTTGAATTTACTATTCAACATTAAACTGCTATTATCCCTCCACAAATAGTATTCCCTTTTGAGAAGTCTTCCCTAATTATCCTAGCTAGAAGAACAATGCTAATCTGTTTTCTTTTAGCAGCTAACTTAAAATTCTACCATAACATTTTTACCAGATTGACTTATTTTTAAAATAAACAGATGGGAATAGTTACATCTTAGCCATCTTTATGTTCGCCACTTCTCACAGCTCCTAACATGGCATCTAACAGTACACCGTATTTTATGACTTCTTCTTGTTGACTGCGGTTGAGTTGAGCATGACTCATAGCGACCCTATGAACAAAAGGCCTGGAGCCTTTCTATAACTATTGTCATTTCTCAAAGTTCATAGAGTTTCCAGAGGCATGTTGTTTAGGAAGAGGATGCCACTCCTGCTTTTATGACTTAGGCAATCAATAAATACTTGTGGAAATGACTCAGCTTTTTCAATAATAGTAATATGAGAAATAAAATATAATCTAGGCATTTTCTAGATTATTAAGCATATATATGCGGTGCAAGTCACAAGAGTTCATATGAAATCAATCTCAAAGTAATATTCTAGCACCAATACATGGATGGCAGAACAGTAAGACTGTTGGGGTTTTTTTTTAATCATTATTTTCACAACAAATGAAAACATGTACTAATTATTTGGTAACTTCTAACCCAATAATAAAGCAAATTCACTAGCCTCAAGTCAGTTCCACCTCATAGCAACCCTGCTTGTAAACTGTAAGAAGGGCAAATTGTCCAGCTTTCTCCCGAGAGCCACTGGTGAATTTAAACCACCAGAGAGGTGTCACTTTTAGGTTGGCAGTGCACCTCACCACGGGCCACGCCACCAGAGCTCCCTTCTCATCCAATATCCCCATTAAAATGTAAGACTCTAACATACCAATTCTATTATATCAGTCTCAAAGTCAGAGGCAGCATGATACATACTAATGTAATCTCCCAGCCAGAACTCTAAAAGTGTGAAACCTAGCCAGAGTTGGGCCATTTATTAGTCTGTTAAGCTCTCCAAGTCTCTGATTTGTGGTTAGTTTTCCCACCCCTGTTAAATAACAGTATCTGCTCTATTTCTCTAAAGTATGTGAAGCTGAAATGAGATCTTATATGGGAAAGTTACAAAGCACTTTCATGTCCTACTTTTCATAGTGAGACTATCCTGCAATTTTCCAGAATATGTTTTTAAAGATTAAGAATATCCTTTCCTTGAACATTTGGCAGACTTTTAAAAAAAAAAAACTGACTGAGCTTCATGTTTCTTATGAGAAAAGAATCTATAATTTATAGTTATATATATTATTCTTTCTTTTTGAGACAATTCTGGTTAAAATTCATTTTCCTAGAAATTGCTGCTTTTTTTTGTATTCCGATGTCTTTATAGTATATACTGATTTTAGTTTAAAAAGTATGTGATTATAGGCATATTTGCTTATATTTGTATTTAAAATAAAATACTTAAAATTTTGTTACAATAATAACAAAAATAAAATAGTATCTTTATATTACATTGTCCTTAAATATTCATTTACTTGTAGGCTTAGTATGATATCAATCTACATATTTTTCATTCTTTTTTATTACTTAATCTTCTTGAAAGAGATTATTCAAAATAAAACAACTTCCTTCGTAATGATTCTTCCTTAATGAAAGATTTTAATAACTAAGAACACATATGGAGCCTTATTTCTGAGGTAATTTTCTTCTGCTTCTCCCTAGACCCCCCACGTTTTTCATTTTTAGATATTTCAATCAACCTATGATTTGAGAAAAAAAGTCCCATTACCACCAAATATGATAATAGACCATTACATATAACCCAGAATATGAAAATAAAAAAAGAGAGAAGATTTCATTATAGAAGTTTCTATGAAAAGACTTGATTTAATATACTATATGACCATAAATATTAAAAAAAATTTAAGTTTCATGTAAGATACAAGTAAAACCTGAGAAGTGGTCAATCTTTATCTAGTTTACAGACTTTATATATATTTTCAAGAATATACGAACATGGATGTTAGTCCACATACCAAAATCCTAACTGGAATTCTGAACAAAACAAAAAAATATCTTAAAATAAAAATTTGTTAAAATTGTTAAGATGAGCTCCTGCTCTAGTGGTCTTTTCCATTTACAGCAGCAGGAAAAGGCTTAGCACAAACCTACTGTCAAGACAAAACGGTTTGCTTATCTGATGACCTTCTAGTTTTACATGCACCGTGCCTACTCTTAGAATTGTATTCCCTAATTACTCTATTAATGTAAAATGCTAAGGTCAGTTAAAAAAATATTTATCTTAAGCACAAAATCATAAATTTGGAAAAGATGAACTTTATCTTAAATGACAAAAAAAATCTAGCAAATGACCTATAATATAAATTTTTAAATGTATTAATAACACGTATAACTGACCAAATTGAACACTGGAAAAGACAACAAGCTTTTACCACTTAGTCACATGTATTCTTCAATAACATACCTCAGGAGGTTTGAATTCTTCAATTCCACCTTCCATTTTCTGTTTAAGTGCACTGTTTACTTGCTTAGCATTCTGAACCTTTAAAAAAATAACCCTAAATGTGAATCAAATAACTTACTTAGATAAATGTTAAAGAGTTTTTAATACACGTAAAGGGGAACTACAACCTTCGTAAATTTTATTTTCAAAAGACAGATAAATTTAACATACTTGAGGGTATGATACACTACTTCTTTAACCAATAGACACATCAGCTAATAGACTAAGAACCTAAGTTACAGGTTATTATGTCTCAAAACCAAAATGCTTTGATCAAATAACATCTATTCTAATAATACTAATGATGGTAGCTACTATCTTTTGCTTATATACAAAACATCATTTTCAGTGCTTTATATATAATAAATCAATCCCCAAACAACACCATAAAGTAGGTAAAAATTTGTTCTGTAAAATACAACCCCATAAAGTAGGTAAAAATATATATGTTCTTTAAAAGTCACCATCTTAAAATGCCACAGAAAAAACAACAACAACAAAATACTTAACCACTATTATAAAAGGTTAATAATGAATCAATTTATTACAAAATTAACCTTGGAGATTTAGCAGGAGGGAAATGGAAATGGAAGTAAAAATTAATAAGCTGGTGAAGAAGGGGAAGGCAATACACAATAAGGAGATGATAAGACATAACTAATTACATTAATCAATGCTGATTAATATTATAAAACAAAGTATCTATGAATGATTGGATGAAAACCAAAGATTTATAAACCTTCATTCAAATAAAAAAATAATAAAAAGTGTGATAAATGCCAAAACACTGAGATGTTCTCTGCACTGAGATACAGAGAATAAAGAACGAGAGAAAACACGTGATGTGTATGTGTTAGTGAGCAGGTGATGATGAAGACTGGGAAAGGTGTTCCAAAGATGAGAACTAAATTGAGCTTAAAGGATCCGTAGGGACAAGGCAGGCAAACAACATCTGAGTTAGGGAATAATTTCCAAGCAGACTAGCATTTAGGAAGCCAGGATGGTCCTAAAGAGTGGGTAAAAATTCAGCTTGAAGGTTTATATTTCCCCAAAAGATTTTAAGATTTTTTAAGCAAGGGAACAAGATGGCCATTTATTTATCTTTTATAAAGATCATTCCAATAATAATGCAGAGAACAAAATATAACAGAAGAGGATAAAAAGGAATTTAACAATCTAGCTAAGGTGTGTTGAGGACTTTAATTACAATGGGAATGAAGAAGCAGTGGTTTTATAGAAGACTGTTTAAAGAAGCAACCTTAAGATATCTTAGGAAACACTTGATTGTCGAGAATTAAGGACGAATAAGCAACAACACCTGAGTCAGAGCTATGTTGAGGACTTTAACTGAAATAGGAATGAACTAGTAGTGCTGCTGTATAGAGACAAGTAAAAAGAAGCAACATTAATATGTCTTAGTAAACACTTTGAGCTTTGGTGGCATAGTGGGTAAGGGGTTGCACTGTTAAACCAAAGAAAGGCAATTCTAATCTGACTGGCAATCTCTTCCTAGGTGATTTATGGCTTCTGAAAAATCCTGGAGGGTCAGCTAGAAGTTGGTTCCAAATAGATAGCAATGAGTTGGTTCCAAAGAGACAGCAATGAGTTGTACATGTGATTGTGTAGAATTAAAGAAATGAATAAAGAATACACTTGAAGCTGAAAACTCAAGTATTAATAACACTGCGTTAGTATCTAAATACATATGGTGGCATTTACCTAAATAAAAAAATGTAAGAAGAAAAACAGATCTAAATGAAGTTGGAAAAGCACTGTATTTGAGATGCACTTTGAGATAGAAAAGTAATGATGTCTGACAAAGAAAAATAGAGTAATGAATAGTAATAGTAACGAATACTTAGGAGAATTTATAGGATGAATGCAAACCTTTACAATGTCAAGAAAGCAGCTTAAATATTCTTTTATTTAAAACATTTCTTTTAATAACAAATGTTGGGAAGAATGAGAAATGGAATTCTTAAACGGTCTAGCTGTTCTAGTAAAACTGCATGGTGGCTCCTGAAGAAACTAAAAATAGAACTACCATATGATGCAGCAATTCTGTTTTGAGGTATATGCTCTTTTGAAAGGAGAGATTCAGATAACTGTACATGCATGTTCACTTTAGCACTGTTCAAAATAGTCAAAAGCTAGAAACAGCCTAAAAGCTCTAATGGATGAATGGCTAAACAAAGGTGGTTGATACACACAATGGTACTTGGACAAAGATATGAAGTCCTCATCCATTTAACATAAACATAAATATCCATATGCTCAGTGGAATAAGTAAATCACAAAAGACTAATATTAAAATACTTTGAAATGTCAATCACCAAAGACATTTACATTTCATTAACAGAAAACCACAAGAAAAGGTAAATATATAATCCAAAGTTTATTAGTGGTTACTGAAGGTAAGAGAGAGAGAGAGTTAGGGGGGGACAACTGTTTATGAGGTAGTGGTTATTGAAGGTAAGACAGAGAGATAGAGAGTTAGGGGGGACAACTGTTTATGAGGTATGGAGTTTCAATTTACAGTCACAGAAAAAGGATATTGATTAAAGATTGGGTTGCAGAAAATTAATGTAATTACTTCCAGCATGTTGTTATGTGTAGTCAAATCAACTCCAACTCATAGTAACCCTAAGTACAACAGCTCTGAACCCTGCTCTATCTTGAGCCAATTTTATTGCCGCGACACACCTACCTTCATTACCCCAGTCACTGAGTCAATCTATCTCATCCAAGATCTTCCTCTCTTCTGCTGTCCCCCCCTTCCAAGAATGATGTCCCTCTCTAAGGACTGGTCCCTCCTTGTAACATGCCCAAAGCTTCAAAATCCTTGCTTGTGAGCAAGGAGCAGCCTGGTTTCACCCTCTCCAAGAGGGACCTGTTTGTTCTCTAGCAGTCCATGGTATATTCAATACTCTTTTCTAAAACTCCAAACTCAAAGGTATCGATTCTTCTTCTATCATTCTTAGTCACTATCCGGGTCTATCATGCATAGCACGTAATTGTGAAGACCATGATCTGGATAAAGCACCAGTAAGTTTTATGTATGTAAAAAAAAAGTTTGTTCTTTAAAATATTCTGGGAAAAATTATCTGTACCCTATGTACCCTAAATACTCACAGTGCTCCTATTTTATTTTCTAGTTCTGGAGTGGAAAGAAGCCACAAATAAGCAAAGCACTCCTTCAAAACAGAAACAAGCTAGGAGGCATCTCACTCCCTGATTTCAAGTCCTACTGGACTGCCGTGGTGGTCAAGACAGCGTGGTACTGGTACAATGACAGACACACAGATCAATGGAATAGAATTGAGGATCCAGAAATCAGCCCATGTACCTATGGTCAACTGATTTTTGACAAAGAGATAAACTCAGTTAAGTGGTGAAATTATAGCCTTTTTAAAAAATGGTGTTGGCAAAATTGGAAAACCATCTGCAGAAGATTCAAGCAAGATCCACACTTCACTCCATACTCTAGAAAAACCAACTCTAGCTGGATCATGGACCTAGGACTAAAACCAAAGACTATAAACTTCATTAAAGAAAAGCTTGGAAGAACTCTAGAAGTCCTAATCTACCACATAAACAGTCTTCCTCACATCCTGGAAAAATCTACAACCAGAAAAGGATAAAATAGATGAATGGGACCTTCTAAGAATCAAATCCCTATGCACATCCAAAACCTTCTCCAACAGGGTAAAAAGGGAAGCCATAGACTGGGGAAAATAAATATTTGGTAATGACATGTCAGATAAGGGACCTATATCTAGAATTTATAAAATACTCAAGCGCCATAACAAGTTAAACAACCCAATTGAAAAGGGGGCACAGGATATGAACAGACACGTCACCAAAGAAGACATTCAGATGGCCAACAAACACATGAAGAAATGTTCAAAATCCCTAGCTCTGAGAGACAACTGAGATATCATCTCACCCCAGTCAGAATAGCAAAATTTATCAGAATAGCAAACAACAAATGCTGGTGAGGTTGTGGAGAAACTTGAACCCTTACTCACCATTGGTGGGAGTGTAAACTGGTGTAACCATTATGGACATCTGTATGGTGGCGCTTTCTCTAAAAGTTGGAAATAAAAATACCATTTGACCCAGCAATTCCACTACTGGGAATATGCTGTTGTTGTTTGTTATGTAACGTCGAGTTGCTTGCGACTCATAATGACCCTACGTACAACAAGGATTCTGGGAATTCGTCTGACATACTTTGGACATGTTGTAAGGAGGGACAGGTCCTTGGAGAGGGATATCATGCTTGGGAGGGTGGAGGGACGGCACAAGAGGGGAAGACCCTCTATGAGGTGGATTGATTCAGTGACTGGGGTAATTGGGATGGGTGTGTCAGAGGCAGTGCCACTGGCACAGGACAGAGACAGGGAATATACCCAAAAGAAAACATAACCAGCACCCAAGTACATATGCATACCCATGTTTATCGTGGCTTTGTTCACAATAGCAAAGGGTTGGAAACAACCTAAGTGCCCATCAACAAACGAATGGATAGAGAAGCTGTGGTACATTCACAACAGAATACTTTGCTGCACTGAAAAACAAGGAACTCCTGAAATATTATATAAAATGGGTGACCCTGGAGGACATGCTGAGTGAAATATTTCAGCCACAAAAGGACAAATATTAAATAAGAGGCAGAATGAAGAGAAAAATAAGATAAACAGAGGGGGGACTAGAACGTGCTTAATTGCCTCCAGCTTAGCACTTTCCTTTCTCTCAGTTTGGGCAACTCCCCTCAGATTCCAACTTGTCTCTCAGCTTCTTCACTTTTTCCAAGCTCTGTTCAAGTTCGCACATTGTTTGTGAGACTTTTTCTGACAAGAAATAGCAAGCATTTTGTTTAATCCCTATTCCTTTTATCCCATTTTTATACTTCTCACCATCCAAAACTCTACATATGTGTTGTCTCTCTAACTAGGATTAAAGTTCCGTGAAGTATGTTTAAAAAAAAAAAAAAAGGACAAATATTGCATAGTGCCACTGTTGTAAAACAGGACTGA